GACTGACTAACTACTATTATTCTTACATTGCTTGATATACGTTTACAAAATTAGACGAAAAACCCAAATAATAATCTGATATTAACTAAAACAATAACCAATTATGGCATAACTCCACACTGAGGGGAATTATTCGTTTATGACGACCTTGGCTTATGCTACAAATATCGATCATGTGAACATTATTTAAACTGCGTCATAAACTTAAACTAAAATAATTACTTATAAAAATATAATAATAATGATATTTAAACATTTCGCAATCATTCYATAAATTCAATATTGATCCTAACCCTACAACATAAAATTTGCTGGACATTAAAGTTACTGGTAATTCAAAACTATTTTTCCTGGTAATCTAAAACTACAAGTACATGACTTGGCATATTTCAATTTCTAGACCAAACTATAAAACTGCTGACGAATCACTTAAACTGAGATCTCAGATTATTAATTATTAACATTGTATTAACGAAATGTCAGGGAGGCGTAGTCTAACAAAAGCTCATAGAACACACACTGGTTTGTTTGGCAGAATAGAGATTTATTCAGTTAAGGGAGAAGTGAAACCCTAAAAGACATGCACGCTCGTGTTCTTGCTCGAGCGAGTGATGCTCTTTCTTCGCAGCCTGCACTGCGACCCGCAATTCCTCAAGACTCAGGAGTTCGTCGCGCTCGTTATGTTCGATTCTTCTTCATCTTCTTGAATTACTGCTCGATCTTGTTCGCGATGCTGTAAAACCTCTGAGTCCGACGGCTGAGTGAACCCAGCTTCCAACGCCACATAATCAGCTCTTCTACCACGGGTTGTCGAGAAAATTATGTGATAACTATTGTGATAACTGTTACCATAAGATTTTATAAAACAGTACTATGACTAGTACACTCGAACTACAACTGATACATGATACCCGTATATGTACAAACTAATACCGTGTGCTTATGCACACGTTATTGTAAAAGTGATAAATTAATTTTGTTTGCCTCAAAAGTTGTTTCAAACTCAAATTTACTAAATATTGGACATATATAACATGGTCTGAATGTTAGTTCCGTGAATACAAGCTTTTTTAATTTTTCAAGCAACTACATTCGAAATTTTCTGCGGCAAAAATAAATTTTCCTTCGGATTGGCTTCTTGAAGTTGTGATGAGCCACTCTAAAACTTTAAGGGCATCCARTTGAMCAATCAAGACTCRAGGATTCAATTGTTGGCATTTTAGAAAGAATTCTGTTGGCATAAATCACCGTTTTAGATGCATTTAAACTTAATGTTTATCAACTTTTTTTAAATAACCGACTACCAACAAATGCCTAGAATTTTAACGGACTAGCGACAAATGCTTGAAATTTTAACTGACTACCGACATTGAGACCCCCCATTAAGATCCTGATATTTTACTTTCAATCAAAAGGAATTTTAAAATATGTTATTACTAAACGCTTTTAAGCGTTAAAATTAAAATTTCTGTCGGATTGTATATTAATAGGA